CAGGAAATTTTGTTTGAAAGTCTAACAACCTTGGTGAATCAATAAACAAGTGAAAGAAAACATTGAACCAAGATGCAGGGTAATAACTAAACAATTTAAACCTAAGAAAGATAGGAAGCAGAGCAAACAAAGCAGAGAAAATGCAAAGGATATTCAAATGATAAACAAGCAGGGTTCATAGATAGGGTAATTGACCGAAAACAATCTAAGTTCAGATGTGATGTTCAAACAGTCAACAATACAAAAATCCTTTCGCATAGAATTCAATTCATATAAACCAATCCAAAAATCTCTTGACAATGATTCCTTTGCTAAAAACCTAATGAATATCTAATTTCCATTAGTGATCAAGCAATCAACAAGCATACAGAAACAACTCTATCTAGCCAAAATGGTCCCTAGTCATATAAATAAACAGTTTTATCTATTCAAAATGCTCCCTAGTCATCCATTCTTATGTGTAAGGATAAGCAAATCCATTAAAAAGTTCACGCATTTCATCAAACACTTTTGGTGCATAGAAACCGTAATTAGGAAATCTAAGTGAGCAACAAAGATTATGCATTTAAATACCTAGAAATGAACAATCTAACATCATATATCCCTAAACAACATATCTTAGGCCTTGGATCATCCTAGATCTATCTCATCTACAAACCCAGAAATTAACTACTCACTACATATGGTGATTATGGCAAAAATTTGAGAAAGAAGATAATGAATCATGATCAATAATAATAGATGGATAATCAATAACAGGAAATGCAAACTTTCATTCAAAATCCAAATTTTTCTTACAAATCCTAAAATTTCTGGAAAAAAACTTAAGAAGAAGAGAGAGAGAGAGAGTTTAAAGCATAAAAGATAAGTTTAATTCAACAAACTCAAGATATTTTAAAAGGATAAGGTTTGCTTTATATAGTCAAGGAAAAAAAGGCTGGTTAATGGTCAAATCTCGGATGTTGACCAAAGTCAAGACAAGAGAAAAACCAAAGGAGTGAGGTCAGTCCGGGGTGAGTGGCCGGGCTAACTTCAAGAAATTTCTGCCCGACTAGCTCCAACGAGGTAAGTCGGGGTGAATCCCTGGGGCAGATTAAATTCAACATAACTCATGAACCGCTGATGGGAATGTATTAAAACCAACGCCAGACAAATTAAAGCTAACTTACGTGGTTATACCTTTTCATGAAGGACGCCGAGGCTGAATCGAACTGGAAAGCCTTCGTCTGGCCTGATATTTCAGGCATTGGCTGGTGTAGCGGGTATGTATATCGGTCAATATGCTTTCCTTTGCTTTCTTAAGTGCTCTTTCTTGCTCCAACTCAAGTCCCAATCGTCATTGAACCTCCATGGCCTCCAAAGTACCTAAAACGCACTCCAAATGCACGAAAAGAGCACAGTTAACTCTATTATGGATGCAAAATAGACCTAAAATGTGAGTTTATACTTGAAAGAGACTCAAAAACTTATGATTATATACACCTAAATGCTGTAAATATGAAATCTATCACCTTGTTTGTTCTAGGTGAAAAGGCTCATCTTGAACAGCTTCTCTTGGTCCACAACTAGGGATTTTCAGCCTGATCTTCTAGACATGTCTAAGGGATTACAAAAGTTTCCACCATCGCCTTGCCTCTGTGGCAGAAATTTCTTAGATTCTCGTAATCAAAATGGAGAATAACATTCACTTCTTCAGTAAATTGGTAAATTTATTGAAAACGCAATTGCTTATCAACGTTTCGAGAACTTGCACTCATACAAAATCAACATGGGTTGGATTTTCATCAAAGTCGACCTCAAATATAATGTACTAATCATGTCTCGGTTGAAGTACTCTAAACGAATACCTTGGATTTGGATCCAGAAAAGTATGATCTTGTGTGTCTCATGAGGACGGTTCAAAACTATCAATAGATTATTATCATATCGTCAGCAAAAGACCTAGGAGCACAGTAGAACAGTACAAAAATTAGATTTTGTTCTGACCAATTATACCACCATTAGTTTAAGAATCTAAACCCTAAAGGCAAGGCATTTGAAAAATCATCACTCAAAGGTTTTGTTTATTGGGAATTAAAGAAGCCATGACCAAAGAAAAGCGGTTTATGGCTGTTTCTTGACTGCAAACCATTGGTGGGAGAACCACCAATGCATCTTCAATTCCAAGATTAATGTTTTGTATTTGATTGTATAGATTTTTTTTGGTCAACATAATCATTTTATAAATCACTTACTCTCCAAACAATGACAATATGTTTACAAAACATAATAACAAAGCCAAACCGGCTAAAAGATCCAATGCAACAAGAGCAAATCGGAGAACAAACATAAAGATAGAAGCAAACATAACACATAAAACATTAGAGACACAGAGAAGTCTTTGATGGCAATAATGCTAAAAGGTAAGAAGAAGCAATGGAATTTAAAAAGCATTGCTAGAGCCGCTGCAACACAAAGTGCAGGGAAGAGATAAACATAAGTTGAAAAGAAGAGAGTAACAAGGCCTCACACAACCTGTACAATGCATGCTATCTTTTTTAGAACTGATTCCAACAAGAGAGAGATAATTAGGACATCTGACTTCGAAGAAACTTGCAGCAAGGTGAAACCTGCAGAGAATACATCCTTGAGCCAGTGCAGAGATGATTAAGAGTCTTCACTAGACTTGGACCGAAACAAAGTGAGGTCCCATACGCTTTCACAAAAAAATGACATTGGAGAAGGGCTCTGAAATATTTCTCCAAATAGCCAAAACTCTTACATATTTCAAACTATGCGATTATAACTTTTCCTATTTGAAAGGGAAGAAGAAAGATGGACTATCTCCATAGAGGAGTAAACATGATAATAGATTTCCAAACACAGCCAAAATAAATGATATAAGAGATTGTAAAATACCATCACTTTTAAAAGCTCCACAAAGGAGAAACAGCTGAGATGTAACCAAGCCTCATAATGAGGTAAACAGAGCCTCATAATGAGGTAAACGAAACCCAAACAAGGGTTCGTGAATTGAGTTGGCTCAAAAAGTAAGGTCACGGAAACAATACCTTTCAAAAGTCATGTCCGAGCAAATGAGAACCAAGACCTCCACCGTGGATCGGAGCACAACTGGTAACTGTAAAAAGCTGGAGGAAATCGCTAAGAAGCCCCAAAATAGTTACCGGAGAACATAGGGACACCACGCCAGATCCAGAAGAAGACTTCAAAGTACTTGATGCATACACGACAGATCCCAAATCTGGTGGATCTGGAGGGTCCGGTGGGACTGACGAAGTAGGAACAAGTGTTCCAACTCAATGGCAAGGGAGTCTGCATAAAGAGTGGAAGAAGGTGGATTTAGGAGAACCTTCACAAAGAACTGAACCAAGGGAAGAGACACCATCATAAAGGAAGAGGAGGGGGAAAGAGGAAAAAATTCTCACCGGCTCGCCAGCGACAGCTGTTAGATCTGTAAACCCCTAATCACATAAGGGATGAGAGAGGAGATAACGTTTTGTATTTGATTGTATATATTATATTCTGTTTTTATGAAAACGTAGATAGAATAGTAAAAAATCTATCATCAATTGTAAAGATCGTGATAGACAAATTAAAGCTGCTCTAAATCTGGAAAATCGTGATGAACAAAAAAAACCATAGAAATCTGGTAAATAGAAGATCTACAATCGGACACAGTCTTACAAAGAGAATATTGCATTGAAAATCACATTGAGACAAAAAAAATCGCCATTCTCAAATGGGGTTCTTGCAAATATAACCTATAAATTAAAGTCAACTGCAAATCTAACCTCTTTTTTCACTATTTTTAACATTAACCATTTTCTCTCAATTCCACATTTATCAGTTTAATGTATACGCAAAATTGGCATCAGATTTTCGTTTTGTGTTTTTTTCGAAAATCCAATTGACCAAACAATACTCATCCTCCTCACTTATTCATGAAAATGTCATCACCACCATTTTAAAGCCATTGGAATTTTTTTTATACATTTGGATAATTCATTTGGTTAACCAATTTGAAGCTTTTATTGCTTCAACAACTCATTTAGCTTTGAGCTTGCCAAAAAAAAAAAAAAAAACTCATTTAGCTTTGTAAGCTCATTTTCTCTTTTCTTAACCTTTTATTCTTACAGTTTTTTCTCCATTTTCAGCATAAAAACTCTCTACTGTAATTTTTCAAAACTTACTGTTTTAAGATATTGTCATATCTGGTGATTTGATCAGGCAAATCGATTGGACCTGTTTGGTAGTGGCTAGAATAGCAGAAATCGGCGATTGAAGAAGTTTAAATACCACTGGTAGGTGATTTTCATTTGATTTTCGTGAGTTTTTCAATCTGTGCCGCGTAAGAAGTCTACTTCTGAAATCTACTTACAGTTGTAAACTTTAGAAGATGTCTACTTATCAATGCACATGTTAGTTTTATAATTAAATGTGTGTTTTGATTTGTAAAGTCTAATTGAAACATACCCCATTTTCTTTGATAACAAAAAAAATAGCATAAACTTCAAAAAAGTTTAGATAAAAAAAGTTAATTTTGCAATTAACCAAATTTTAACTTGTTGTAAAAGTTTATTTGTAAAAATAGACTTCAGAAAAAATTGAACCCTAGCCTGGACCCATGGTGCGTTTTGAGCGTTCTGGATCATCAGCTCCGGTACAAAATTATTCAAACATATAAAAGAAAGAAAAAAACATTCAAACAATAAACTTTCGTAGTTCGTATATCCAACTTATCTTAATTAAAAACAAAACATAAAAAAAGACGCAATCTCACCAGTCAATGGGGTTTTACAGAGAAGATTTGGAATTAATAATTGCAGCAAAAGAAAAGGAACTAATGATAAGGAAGTAGAAGCAACGAAATTGTGAATGTGGAAAGACGATCACAGTTCTAAGTTTTGTTTCACCTTTTACAGCTGTAAGCGTATACGATTACTTGTACATAAACTATGAAAATAAAATAAAATAAAAGAGATTTAAAATAATGTCATAATTTATTTCGCTACTTGTTCGAGGACACCAACTTTCTTCTTCCAGGAATCATCTTCTAATCCACTCGCCGGTAAGGGTGGCAACGAGAAGACGCTAACCGTGGAGCTACCGCTGCGAATCTCCTTTAATACCCTTAATGCCGACACAGTGCTCTTCATATACAAGCTCTCCATGTACTCAATCTCAGACAGATCTTTTGGAACTCTGAGAAGATCAGAACCCTCTGTTGCTGTCTTGACCGAAGTTGTTGCCTCTCCTTCAACCTCTGGATTCCAACCTTTGTTAGACGGGAAGAGGCGGTCGAGCATAGCCTCGCACTCTTTTACAAATGTGTTGAGCAGGTCGGTCGTAAAGAAAGGTTCTTGTAGAACCTTTTGGATGAATGGTAGTCGGATAAGAGCACCGGTTCTTTTGTCATACTTTTTAAGAATCTTTGCTAATCCTGTAAACACCAATAGAACCGAATTCTACAAATTTAGCGAATAAGAATAAAGGCAACAACAACCTTGAGTTTATTCTTTAAGAGGAAAGCATCTCCGATGAGTGGCCTATTAAACAAATTAGAGCATATTCCTTCATGTGGGCACATTTTAATTCAACAAATAATAAACCGATCGTTAAGAATATCGACTCTTTCCGTACATGTAACGTGAACACTAATGCAAGTACTACTAAATCCCCATTGACCAAGTTTCCCTTCAGAGGAAATGGTAAACCGCAGTTTGCTGTTTGGATGAGTTCTCACATACTAGTAATTGACCATGTGAGAGTTTTGACATTTTGAGATAAAAACATGTGAGCGTTCGGGTAAGGCATCAGCTTTAATGAATGTAGGCTTTTCTAGTTAAGAGTGTACATAACCTATGAGAAACAAAGGACCAGCAAAAGTAAATTGAGACGACATGAAAAAGAAAAGATTACCTGTATAGTTAAGAGCACTATAATTCATCAACAAGACCATTTCTCCATGAAAGTCTACAATCTCTTTCTTTATATTAATCATTTCTTCATTTGAATTCTTTGCCCTCGCCACTTGGTCTTTCAATTCCTGCGATTCCGGCTCCCATAAGTAAAAAGTTGAATATGCCGTTTCAAAAGAAGAAGGAAAACGCTCCACGCAAAAAATTCCAGCCCTTGGAAACTTAAAAGAGTTAGTGAAATGGACCTAAACTAGGTACAGAAATCTCTAACTATGCCTGTGGAAAGCCGCGAAATTCTTGCCACTTAAGGCGTCTATAGTTGCCAAGAAAGTGGCCAATAGTCGAGGTCCATAGATGGTGCTATTCGAACCCTAGCCTGGACCCACAAGAGCAAAAGCTGCAACATTGAATCACTACCCCTGGGTTTCTCATTGTCCTAAACTTGTACAAGAATTATCTGCTCTTGTTTGTCCTTCAAAATGGCGAACAATAATTCAGTGAATTTGGAAGCCTAAAACAATCTTCTTATCAAAAGCTTGGAATTGTAGAATTTGAGCCTTGATAGTTAAACCATCAATTTTCATTTACATCGGATCACTACTATAATCATAAGTAATACAGATCGCCTATTTCTAAAAAAATTACAGAATAATATATTGTGAATGTCATAAAACATAGTTTTGGGATTCCAGGTTCAAGGAAATAGACCATACGACATAATAAAGGACTGTTTCCTTCATCAAAAACAAGATCGCCGCTTTTTGTATCGTTTCACATAAATTCGAGAGATTTTGATTTTTTTTGGGTACCTTTAATCTGATGATGTATTCTTCCTCTTTCTCGACAAAGAAGCAATTGAATTTCTCAAGCTCTTCCTCGAGAAGTCGAATGAAATCGAGCTCCTCTTTCGTCATACCAGCCGTTGAATCTGCGTCGACGGAATTCGGGTCGGATCTTGACCGTTTGTTTGGGCGATTGTCGCCGCCTCTAGGCTCCATGAGCTTGAGCTTCTTCTTGAGGTCCTTGTAGGAAAGAAATTTGTCTTGCCATTCAGGCAAGGTTTCTTCGATCTGGTTGCTAAGGCTCTTGCCGAATTTCATGGCCGACGAGAGAAAACACAAAGTGGAAACAATCGGTGAGACCCCTAATATATTGTTTTTATTAAATGTCGAATATTCGTGGTTTTGTTTATGGAATATCCATTTTTAGTCTCGCTCGTCGAGCATCTCTTTGATTTTCATATCTACGGTTTTTTTTATAAACGTACTTAGTTCTAATATTTTTTATCATTCATCATACACAAACGCTATATTTATATAAATGTAGTTTTAATATTTAATAATAATCTATTTGTAAATAACATATATTTACAAATATAATTTTTTTATTAAATAATAATTAAATTTTTATAATATTTTTAAATATATTATATATATTTTATTTTCTTTTCTTTTTACTTAATATAATCTTTTCAATATATAAACTAAAATACGTTTTATCATCTTTACTTATTTTAACAGCTATAAAATGATAGATATATGCATAAATATTTTTATAAAATATTTGAATTATTTAATAATTAAATTTTAAATTAGACTATAATCAAACAAATATCGATACACGATAAATTTGTTTATAATTTTGAATTTTGCATAACTAAAATTCATATCCACATGTATATTTATAGAAAGTCTAAGTATGATTTTTATGATTTTTATGTATTAAAAGAAAATATAAAATATATGTTTTATAATATATATTTTTTAATGAATAGTTAAAATTTTAAAGTAATTAAACACATATATTGGTATATGTATGTATGAGTGTTCAGGAGCATTTTGCAGGATGCCATATGGAGGTGTATCATTTGTCCGGGTGGAAAAACCGTGTTTCCAAATTTTACGATGAACTGTCTGAGGCAGAAGTTTGTTCGAGTCCTGGGTCACTAAACAAGAGTCAGTTAAGCCTTCAGGAGGACCGAATAAAGGTTTCCTTTCCGAAGGTTCTCTGACGCCCAAGTCAATGAACGTTCTATTGGAAACTGGCACTCAAGAGGATGGTTCTACGAGTTAAAAGTTAGATGTCTCGTCCAGGGATAGGGACATCTTTCTGTTTAAGGGTGTTTCAAAGGGATTCTATAAAAGAAATGAGATGTAGCCATTATGAAGGCATGATCCCGGGTCAAAGAAGGACTTATCCTGTTCGGCGCTCTCTCATGGAGGCGAGACTGTTCCCTTGTGACTGCGCTGTATGGTTGTGCTTGTCTTCTCCTAGAGGGGTGATAGCTTGGATAATTGCATCATTTTAGATATCATTTAGCATAGTTTTCCTCATCATTTCATCCATTGCATAGTTCAAAGTGTTTCATTTGCATTCATAGTATAGCTAGTATGCATTAGAATTAGGAACGCATGTTTTGTTGCATTGGGAGTGTATTTCAGGTACTATGGAGCTTTAGAGGCATGTGGATCAAATGGAGTTCAAGATGACGTGAGGAAGGGAGCAAAGGAAGGAGAATTTAAGAGTAGCAGCTGCACTGGGTAGCCACACTGGGGTAACCTCCACAGAGAAATTCGATCCGGAGATTTGGTTTTCACCATGATAAGTGAGTAGTTTGCTTTAGGTTTGAGATTAGGGCAGATGAAGTGATTCTAGTGATTGTTTAGGTTGATTAGGGCTTAGATCTTCTCATTCCCTTTCTTATATGATTGTGCTTAATGCTTAGTACCTCTTTGTTGGAGAAGTTGATTTTAGGTATTCGCATGCACACCAAGTGTTTGAAATTCCTGAATGAAGTTCAATGCTTGAAAATGGTGTTCAGATAATCATGAGTCTTTGTATCTATCATTTCTTGCTTGAATGTACTTATTGCCTAGTATCATATTGATGAGAAATTTCCTTTAGACATTGATTATGCATGAGAATGTGAGTTGATGTTTGATATATTGTATAAGAGATTAATAAACTTAGCCTAAGAGATTAGATGTCTAGCATGCTAATTGGTTTATGGAACTTGATTTTGATGCTTGATGATTATGTGTTTGAGTAAAAAGATTTATCTTGAATATGTGATTAGAAAAGGGATTAGTGCTAAGAGATTGAATTAGTCTTTATTAGTGTTCTTTACCTAAGGTTGAGTGTTTAGAATTGCTTGTTTTGATCACCCTAGACATGAACATGAATCACCCTATCACCATTGTCTTGATATTGAACCATCTTTTAATCTTTGAAGTCTTGCTTTTACTTTGTTTTAGTTCAGCTTTTACTCTATTTATGCTCTGTTTCTTATTGCTTTTATTGCTCTTTGCTTGCTTTCTTTTGCTTTGCTTGCTCACTTAGGTTGTTAGACTTTTAAAACTATCTATGTTTTCTTGAATTAAGAGCTCTATTGCATTCTTACTGCTTCATTCTCCCCTTTTGGATTGATAAAACCATATGCTATACTACAACTGATTAGTACAAGCTTGGGTGATTGAATGTAGTCCTAAAAAGTCTTGTATCAATTTGGTGCCGTTGCCATTAGGGAATGCTTTGCTCAGTAGGATTTGTAGAGATCTTGAGATCAAGCTTTGTTATTTTCGTTTTTGGTTACTGATTTCTCTTTTGGTCTAGAATTTATTTTGTAGGTACAACAACACTTGCTCTTAAGTGTCTACAACTACAACTGAGGTTCAAGGTTAAAGATTTGGGGTTTGCTAAGTCAGAATTCAGCTGTTGAAGCATGGAAGAACATCAGTATGCTGCTGATTTTGGGTTGCAAGGCCCACAAGGTTTACAAGGTCCTTAAGGGATTCAAGGCCTGCAAGGTGAACAAGGTCAAGCTGGTCTACAAGGTGATTGGGGAATGAGAGTTCAAAGAGCAAGAAGGCCTATTGGTGCTGCTGATACACCTTCTAATTATGCTTCAAGACAAGGTATCCTTCCACCTATGAAAACTCAGCAATATCAAATCAAGAGCAGTCTCATCACCATGATCCAAGAAAGGCAGTTCTTTGGATTGCTAAACCAGGACCCTCTAGATCACTTGGATCAGTTTGAGAGGATATGCACTTTGACAAAGCTTAGTGGAGTCTCAGATGATGGTTTGAAGCTCAAGTTATTCCCATTTTCTCTTGGTGATAGAGCTAGATTATGGGAGAAATCTCTAGCACAAGGCAGCATCACCACTTGGGAGCAATGTAAAAGTGCTTTCTTAACCAAATTTTTCTCTCCCTCATGAACTGCACACTTCAGAAATGAGATCACAAACTTCAAGCAGTGGTCTAATGAAAGCTTTGGAGACACATGGGAAAGGTTTAGAGGTTTCACTCATCAATGCCCTTACCATTGCTTTACCAAGGAAATGCTACTATCCACACTCTATAGAGGTGTTCTCCCAAAGATAAGAATCCTCATAAATACAGCTAGTAATGGTTACTTCCTTGGAAAAGATGTTGATGAAGGTTGGATACTAGTGGAGAACATGGCACTCAACAATTGGGATTATGTGGATGATAAGGAGCAACATTCCAAAGCAACTGAAGAGAAGCTAGAGACAGCATTGTATGAGATGATAGACTTGCAGCAGAAAGCTGACTTGCTAAACCTCTTCCTAGTGTTGCTCCACAAAACTACAACAAAGAGCATCAGATCAAAGCTGTTCAACTACAAGAGGTGCCAATAATGAACCAAGACCATGATGTTTGTGTACACCAGTCCTATGGAGACACTCATCCTCAACAGCATCAAGGTTCCTCTTCTCAACCAGTTGGCATCAACACCTCTCCACCTTCACATGATTTGGACTATAAAGAGATGCTCATCCAACTCTAACAACTTACTAATGGAGGACTCCAAAAGATGATGGCTGTTGAGATCCAAAAGAGTTTGACTGATATTCAAAGAAGTATGACTGATGAAATACACAAACGCATTGACTCAAGACTACAGTCACACATAGGTCCTATGAATATAAAAATCAACAAACTAGAGAGAATGACTCCACCATCCACCTCTTCACTAACACAAGAATGTGTCAAAGCTGTCACTTTAAGAAGTTGGAAGCAGCTTCCTCCAAGAGTGGCGCCCTCTACACCCAATGTGGACATTGGGGAACAAGAAGAGGGGGTGGAGGTTAAAGAAAATGAAGACACTCCAGAGGATGAGATGATTGAAGCTGAAAAGATTCCAGAAAAAGCCAAGGGCACGGAAGTGGCTAAGGGCAAAGCAAAGGAAGCTTCTAAGGAGTTAGTCAAGGAACCAAAGTTCATCCCTCCTCCTTATCAGCCAACCATACCTTTTCCTGGACGGTTTAAGAAGCAGCTGGTTGCTAACTACAAAGGGCTATTTGATGAACAGATGAAGAAGATCCAGCTCACAATGCCACTATTAGATGCCTTTGTTCTGGTTCCTCCTTATCAGAAATTTCTGAAGGATGCTGTTGCTGAAAGAACCAAGGACCTACAAGGGATGGTAGTCCTTACACATGAGTGTAGCACCATTATTCAACAGAAGAGAGTGGCTCCCAACAAACTAGGAGATCCAGGGAGCTTTCCCTTACCCTGCTCTATAGGTCCACTTCTGTTTGATAAATGTTTGTGTGATCTAGGAGCTAGTGTCAACTTGATGCCCTACTCTGTGGCACAGCACCTAGGCTTCACCAAGTTCAAGGACTGCAGAATCTCTTTGGTATTGGCTGAGAGATCAGTGAGACTCCCCAAAGGTTTGCTTGAAGAGGTACCACTTAGGGTTGGGAGTGTAGAGATACCTACTGATTTTGTGGTTTTAGATACAGATGAGGAACCTAGAGATCCTCTCATTCTTGGGAGACCCTTCCTAGCCACAACATGAGCAGTCATTGATGTTAAGAAAGGAAAGATTGAGCTACAGTTGGGAAAAGATATGTCTTTGAAGTTTGACATCAAACATATTATGCAGCAGCCTACTATTGAAGGTCAAGTGTTTGAATTTGTGATCTTAGAGAAGCTGCATGATGAACTTTGAGATGAGCTGTGTTGTGAAGATAAAATACAAGTGGCTTTGACAAAGGAGCATGGGAAAGATGGTTACTTGGATAAGGAAAGCTTGGGTTATAAGCTGAGGTTAGACTCTCACAAAGTCT